CGAGTGGAAGCCTGTCCGGTCTCAGCAGTCCAACTTCCCGACGGTCTCCATCCTCCAAATCGCCTGCCATGTCGACGACGACGGCGGCGGCGATGGTCGTTCCTCGAACAAGTCGCCGTTGGTTTTTCTTCTCGACCTCTCAGCTATCCTCCTTCCATCAATTTATGATCTTCTTAAGGACGCGTTTGTCTCTCCAAATATTCTGAAGTTAGGGTTTCGGTTCAAACAGGACCTGGTTTACTTGTCATCCACCTTCTGCTCCCAGGGCTGCGACCCTGGTTTTGATAGGGTATGCTTTCCAGCAGTTCTATTTTGCGACTGATTCCATGTAAAGAAAATACTTTCTCAAAACTTTCATATCTATTTGACTAAATTTAGTTGAGCAGTTCCATGATTTTCCTGAATTCAGATGAAGTCCAATTGTGTGGTTTGGGTACTCCCTTCTAAAAAGAACTTTAAGCTTATGGAGATTATATTGGAGTCATTATGATGTTTGAAGCTTAATCTTTGATAGTCATTATTGGTGACTAGGTGGAACCTTTTCTAGATATTACAACCATATATAACCACCTGCAACAAAACCTACAAGGAAGAAGGTCGCCAAAGCAATCTAAGAGTTTAGCAGCAATCTGCCAGGAAGTGTTGGGCATTTCTCTTTCAAAGGTTTGTGGTATGAGAGTTCACATAATGTTTCATCATAAATTTTCGGTGGGTGTAAATGGGAGGAGAGGAAATGGACTGGGAACTTTTAGTTGCTCTCGTTGAATTAAAAAAAGGAACAGAAATAAACATGGTAGATGATCCATTTTTAGCCATTGAATATATTCATTTCCACAATGGGAAGACAAAAGGGCAAATGTTCGTTCTTACTCTCAATACCTAGCGCATCAATGCCTCTCAATACATATTTACACACTATTTCTCACTCGTCTCTCCCCTTGGCCTTGTTTGGAAAAGAGCCTTTGGCTGTTGGCTATTTCTGTTGGTTGGTTTGAATGACTGATTGAATTGGTTGTTTAGACTAGCGGATTGTATTAGCTGTTAACGAAAAATTGTTTGGCAAACATAGCTGTTCACAAATAGTTGTTTATGATGTAAATTACATTTTTGGACATACCTCCTAATGTGTTAATTATGAAGTAATAGTTTATTAGTTAACTTTTGGATTTTAATAAAAACAAACTCTATATATGAAAATAAATACTGAGCAAATATATCACGTAACAATATACCAATAAAATAATCACCAAGAGCACATAATTAGAGAAAAGAAAAAACTTGCTAGTTTGGCCAAATCTAAAAAATAAATAAAAATAAACAAACAAAACAAATAAAAAATAATTACCGAGAGTACAAAAATAAGAAAAAAGGTAAAATATCTGCTAGTTTGACAAAGTTTTTAAAATTAAAGAAAAATAACAAACAAAACAAATCATATTTAGTATGTAAAACCTTTCTTAATACTCCATACATAAACTAAAGAATAAAAAAATCTACATTAAGGGCATGAAAAAAAAGGAAAAAGTGAACTGCTAAATCAAAATGCTACTTATCCTAGCTATTGGATTATTGGCTGTTCCTGGTCAAACTGCTAAAAGCTGGCCGATCCGCCAATATCCAAACACACCCCTTATGTTTCTGGGTGGGTGTAAATGTGAGAAGAGGAAATGGACTGGGTACTTTTATTTTTTCTCTTTGAATTTGAAAGAAAACGGGAGGGAAATAATTGCTTGGTAAATAAATCCCGTGCCATTGAAGATATTCATCTCCAAAATGCGAAGAAAATGTGGTGCATTTTTTCCATCTTTATCTTAATACCTAGCTCATCCCTGCCTTTCAAAACATAGATACACATATTCCTTACCCACCTCTCACTTCGTTTTGTCCAAACCATTGTGCACCCCCAACATGTTTTCTCTTCACACATAATATCACAGGTACAAGATTACTCTCCTACCACTTTATGCCCATGATATTCTCTTCATTTCGAGTGGATTATCTGCCTATTATGTGCATTTCAAAATGTAGGAACTCCAATGCAGTGATTGGTCACAACGCCCTCTAACAGAAGAACAAAAGACTTATGCCGCAATGGATGCTCTCTGCTTGCTTCAAGTCTTTGATGTACTCAAGGCTAGGGTGGCTAATATAGTAGGTTTGTAAAGTGCTATACTTCTTCATGCATGAATATGGTACACTTGAGATGCCAATGCTTTCTTGCTTCCTACATCTTCCAGCTGAATAGGAGCGATATCTACAAGAGCAATTCTAGGGAGACACTTAAAATTGACATCAATAGATCCCATCCTTAGGTGTCACATATTCATTGGTTGATGATCACATTATTGTCGTTTTCAATCCATTGAAAATTTGACAAGAATATCACCAATGATTTATAAATGCCACTTTCAATGTCTTCATAGTCTTTTGTATCTACAAATCTCTCCATGTATTATATATGGTGCCACAGATCTAGACCTCATATGAAAGGCTAGGGTGCTAGACATGTAATGGTTGCATGGAAAGGTAATAGTATATCTTAAATTTCATGCTTAAAGGGTGAATCAATTATTGTGGTTTAGGAAAATAAGTTCAAAAAGTTGGTGCCCCGGGACGGAGAGTGGATTCTTGGAGTATGGAAGGCTTAAAGAGAAGTCAGAGCGAACAAAAAAATACTTTAATTGAAGGTATAAAATTGATATTAGAGCGTTGGGGTTTAATGAACATATGGCGCTTAACAAAAAAAATAGAAAAAATTGATTTCAGTAGTTGACTTCATTATATTTTCTATTGGATTGGAATTAAGGCTTGGTAGTTGATGTATATTAGAGGTGTAGGGATTTTTTGTAAACTCATGTATGCATGCGTGTGTGTGTTAAGAGAAAACTCTTTTGCTCATATTCATTTGCTGCTGATGAAAATTGTATCCCACCTATCAATTAAAAGAAAGCTGATCATTAAAAGTGGGATTATATTTTTTTAAAATTGAGCTAGCATGGGCCAGTAATCATTGTGCCAGTATTCATCTCTATTGACAACTTTTTCAGTCATGTCCTTCTGTATTTATCTCACATGTTTTCTAAGGCATATGTTGAAATACTGAGATGATTTAATTTAGGGAATGCTGCATGCAGTGTTGGAAAGCTCGAGTCATCTTCCGATAATCTTGGTCTCAAGCGGATTCTTGACATGCCAAATGTTTCTGAGAATGTATTTCAGACTAGCTTCATTGAAGCTACAAAGATGGTCCGAACAATTGTGACTGAATATCCCCAAGGAATAACAATTTGTGAAGAAGCGACTTCCCTATTTCAGTTTTTGAAAAATAAGCAAATGCATGATGCAGTCATTTGGATTGTCAGAAAGTATGGTGATAAACTTTTAGCAAGCGACAATGAAAGGAAACCTAAAATGTCAAGGAGGAGAGTGAAAAAGTCGCCTGGACGGTTATTGGCAAAACCCAAAACATTGGTTGACGATGAAGATTGGCAAGGTCCTCCTCCGTGGGATGTGTCCTTGGGTGGTGACGGATGCCCCAAGTTCTTATGCGATGTGATGGTATGGAAACTTATATCGGTTGTTATTTCTCAAATTGCTGGAAGTTAGTACTTAAGAAATTGAGTCACCCACATAGGAATTGAACAGGGTGTTTGCACTTCACATTTGGCTCTTTGGGCCGTCCATCAAGCTCACGTGTTTTAAATACTCAACAGGGCTTCATGCCCAAAGAATTAGAATTTAGAAGTGGTGAGGCAGTGGCGAGGCAGTGGCCTAGTCACCCCAGGTCAGGTTTTATGCCCCCCAGGTCTAATGAGCTATTGGAGTTGTAGATTTTTTTTGTACAATTTAATGCACATTTTATATACTCCGTACTTAGAGTACTCCACATAATATTTGTCATTTAGAAATATGAAAAAAAATACTCCCTCTGTCCCAAATGAACTTTGAGCCAACAACAGAATTGCCCTACAAGACTCATCAACATAGAGAAACATTCATAGGACCATAGTACATACAAGTACAACATCACAAACTACAAAGGATTAATTCCAAAAAAAACCCCATTACAGAGCAAAGGGATAAAAACCAACCCCCCCACCCCGACCATAATCGAAGCCCATAGAAGAAGCCCACGTTACACCGGATTTGAAGGTAGAGGCCGCCCTCGCCCCATAGCGAATCCTCTAGTCCCATCGGGCATTCTGGGACCAGGTGGTGGTTTTGAGGGTTCTGTACCAAGAGCAGATGGATGCATTCCATGGGCTTGTACATTTGTTCCATGTTTCTGCCTCCTTCCACGTCCTCGGGTCCGGCCTGAATGCCCATTTCTTTCCGGTGGTGCGTGCTCCCCAGTGGTCTCCTTTGGTAATTGGTCTCCCGTCTCCATCCTTTTCCTCATGTGAATCACCATGGTGCTCACTCGGATGGCAGTTCTCATCCACAGCCTGATCAGATGATTGACCACAAGCATGTCTATCAGAGTCTGATTCTCTCCAGACTTTCTTTTTCTGTCCACGCTTGATCTCTTTCTTTAGAAGTTTCACCCTCAAACCGAATCTCCAATCTTTTTCATCATTCAAAGTGGCCACAGCTTTTTCAGAAGCTTCCACGGTGTCATATTCCACAACAGCATGCAGCTTGCCGCTAAGCAGCTTCTCTGCAATTGTACACTTTCTAGGATTTCTTTCAGTATGAGGTTCGCGAATGCTGATGTAGAATTATGCTGTTTATTCTCATGCCTATTAAGGCAAGAAGGTTATGCATGTACTTCGGTTTTTGTGTTTATACGGTGTATGTTTGGTGACTTTGGTATGTGTACATTGGGATTTTTAACCTACCCCTCTATTTTCCCTAAAAAAACAAAAAAACCAAAAGCATGCCCTTCTATTATAAAGATCCTTGTCCTCTATTTATGGTCAGACCCTTTATGGTTTATGTTTGCCCAGTATTGAATAGACACTGGCATTCAGTAATGAAAACATTCCCACTGTAGCCGCAATGTTGACACTGCATTATTTTAGGTTGAGGGATTGGCAAAGCATTTGAGGTGTGTTGGAATTGATGCTGCTGTTCCGCCTATGAGAAAGCCCGAAACAAGGTTGAACCTATGACAAATTTGACCTACGCTTGGCATTTATTTTGGGCCAACATATGTGATGCTTGTTCACTAGTATTTTTTAACCCATTGCTGTATATTGTTCCTGTTACCAGGAATTTAATAGAACAAGCATCTAAGGAGAAACGGGTACTCCTAACACGAGATGCCAAGTTGCTGAGACATAGCTATCTCATAGAAAACCAAATATACAGGGTAAAGAGTCTTCTTAAGAATGAACAACTTACTGAGGTAATCCATTCATTCCAGATTCCACTATGCAACAGCCAAACGACTTGTTCACCCACACTCATAAAACTACACCTAAATTATTTTGCAGGTTATTGAAACATTTAAATTGGAAATTTCTGAGGACCAGTTGATGTCTAGGTGTACTAAATGCAATGGGAGGTTCATCCAGAAAGCTCTGACAACCGAAGAGGCGGTGAAAGCTGCCCAGGGCTTTCAGGTCATCCCAAGCTGCTTATTCGACAAGAATTTGGAATTCTGGCAGTGCATTGTTTGCAAACAACTCTATTGGGAGGTAAAGATTTTGACTGTTTCACTTGTTGTCTGTGTTTCTTATCAAAGTATCTCACTGAATTCCTAATAACTTGGTTTTTATATTGGAATTTCGTGTTGGTGCATGATACTGTAGGGGGGGCAATACCACAATGCAGTACAAAAGTTCATTGACATTTGCAAGTTAAAGGATTAAGCAAGTGAGGCGAATTCAAGAGTTATCAGGACGACAGCCCGTCACCCTTTCAATACTTCACCACGAGGCATTGAGTTTGCTGTTTGGGGAGTTCTTAGTGTGTGCTGCCTGGTCAAGATTCTTGTAAGATCCGATCTCATCTCCCCTTGTATGTTATTTTTAGGACCCTGAGTTAGGTGAAAAAATATATTTTACTCATCAGTAAAAGGTAAATCTAACATTGATAGGTCTAAACGTACTAGTTGTTTTTCTTGGAAGGAAAACCTACTAGTTTAAGCGCTAAGGAAAAGTTTAAAAATTTATGCTTTGAAAGTTTAGGATCTCCAAACTTTATACGGAGTATGTAGTTCAAAATAGTACTATGATTTTGACTGCTTTGGACTAAACATTAAGGTCCGTTTGGTATACGGAATTGATGGAATTGGAATTGAATTGGAATTGAAATTTCATTGGATTCAATTCCATAGAATTGAATTCTACCAATTCCAATTCATTTTTGACACTATCAATTCCAAATCCACATAATTTTTGTACTACCAAACACCAGAATTGGAATAGAAGTCTTCAATTTCAATTCCATAATTTGAATTCCGTATACCAAACGAGGCCTTAATGAATTTGTTTTTGGAATCTTATGAAGTAAGGCATGAGCCTAAAAGTGTCTATAAAACTAAAAAAAGCTTAAAGTGTATCTCTATGATATATACACTCACTCGGCCCGATGCGTGATGCACATTATGTAGAATTGTAGATATGATACAGGCACATCAATACATACTCCAAAAGCAAGCATGTGATGTAAAAGCATATATGCATCATATCCTGTTCTTTAAGATTGGAAAAAAAGAGTTGGATGTTAAAGAAAACTAGAAAAAATTGGAAAGAAACTGGAAGGAACTGGAAAAAACTAGAAGAAACCGGAAAAAATTGGAAAAAACTGGAAAAAACTAGAAAAAACAAGAAAATCTTCAAAAAAATAGAAAACCTAAAAAAATTTTAAAAAAATTTATTTGTAATTCTTGTTGTTGTATATTATTATTATTATTATTATTATCATCATCATCATCATCATAATCATCATCATCGCATTATCTTAATGAATGTCTTTAAAATATAAAAAAGGTATTGTTATTTTTCAAATACAAAAAACTAATTTTGCAAAAAAATAATTAGAATATAAAGCTAGCCTAAATATAAAAATATTAAATTTTAAAATTTTTTTGTGGTTACTTTGCACCTCAATTTATTTATGCAATATTTATTATAATAATTTATTTATAATTATACTTTATATATTACAAAATTTTGTTTTAAGTATCAGACATGTCACATAATGTAATCAAACCTATTTTTTCTTTCATGATTGACATTTTATTTTCATTGAAGTCCTATTTTTAAAATAAAGATATAACTTTTTTTTTACATTTTTTATGTTTTACTCCTATTTTAGTCCTTTTCTATGTCACTATTTTATCCATAATTTTTTAAATATAGTTTAATATATTAATGTTTTCCTATTTTATGATGTATATTAATATACAAAAATTGTCTTATTCATATTAAAAATATGAAGAAAAAATATTGAGTGTAAATCGTAAAAATAGTGAGATGAAAAAATAATTTATAAACTATAGTTATTAAAATAGTGGGTGTAATAATAATCACATTAAAAGTATATCATTTTTATAGTAATTGGTTGGAGAGTAGAAAGAGTTGGAAGAAAATGAGAATTGTTGGAAGAAACTGGAATGAACTGGAAGAAACTGGAAAAATTAAAAGAAACTGGAAGGAATTGGAAGTTAAGAGTTCAAGCCCTAAAGAACAGGTTCTTAGTCTCTTGTCTGGTTGATAATACTCCTTTGGTCCCACAATTGATTATAATGTACTCCGTATACTATTTCAAAATCACGATAGCTTTTGTTTATTTATGTACTTTTGTAAAACTTTGTTGCCTCCTCTTTTGTAAAACTTTTGATGTTGTTTTTAATTATGTAAGTTTTATTTTTTACTCATGTCTCAATCTTTAAATAAAATAAATTAAAAATACTTGGAATTTTTCTTCATTTTCCACAATTGTAATCAAAATTTGAACGGATGGAATATATTTCGAGTGTGATTTGTTCTTGTTTTTCCTAATTTTTCTTGTTCATGTGAGATCAGAAGTAATCTCTCTTCAATTCGCTGCGTGGGTTCTTGCTTTTTCTTATTTTTTATAGTCCATGTCTAATCTTATTATGTTTACTCTGTTGGTAGATTCTTATAATCATATTAGATGCCTCAATTCGATATGCTTATAATTCAAATGATCAGAAGTTGATTTCATAGTTTCATTCACACATTCCTTATTTTAACTCTTTATTTTATAATTTTTTTAATTTGCGGGTGTAGTTTCTTACTTATGTATAATGTTACTTTCAAATCTAATAATTTTAACTTTTACGATATATGCACAATTGAAAGCATTATAATGTACTCCCTCCGTCCCAAAAAGAATTACACCTATCATAAAATTTGTCCCATAAAGAACTACACATTTACCTAAAAATACATTTCTACCCTTAAGCCTAATTTCTACCCCACCCTCTTACCCCATCCACCGTATGAGCTCTACCCATCCCCTCATCCATTCATCATCTCTCCTCTATCCGTCTCTCTGTGGTTGTTCCCCTTCTAAATTGCCGCCGGCACCCTCAATCATCAGATCTATATCTTCCATACCTCCTTCCCATAACAATTCACCAAAAATGGTGATTCGCGACCCTACCATGCCCTCCTTCAAGCTTATAAGCGATAGCGAAGATGAAAGGGCATCTCCCCAGCCAACTCCTAAATCTAAAAAATCACTGATCCCTAAATACGACTCTGGTGATAGCGCATCTGGCACGGATGATACAGATCCGACGTGGTAGTATCGGAAAAAATATTTGGGGGGTGACTTTTTTCCGTTTGAGGATGAAGGAGGCAGTGTCGAATCTGATGGGGAAGATGGGGAATCAGTAACTTCGGCCCAGATCTTGGAGATGTCTAATACAGAAATAATTTTCGCTGAGCCCTATGGAGATGAGGCTAAAGCACTGCGTTTCAGACAAAGTATTATGTTCTTCCTCTTTAGATTCACATACGATTAGTATTTGCATGTCCCATTATATACTACGTATAATGTTTATTGGCAAACTTATGATGCAAACAAACTTTGTGTGAATGATTAGAAGTCTGTGAGCTTTTTTGGATTTAGGTACTCCCTCCGTCCTAAAACTTTCTTCTCAGTTTGTCTTTTCCCCATTTTTAATTTTTGGCTTTGACTTCAAATTTTACCCTCCTTAAAAAAGATTTTTTTGAAATTTTTTTGCAATCATTCAAAATATAGAGTTAGAAGATAATTGGTGTAAATACATGAGGGTATTAATGTCATTTGTCATCTTTTTTTTTCTAATGGGAGTATATTGTAATGTCACCCCCTATGGGTTGGAGACTTACAACACTGTATTGATCTGGTCTACCATATTTTTTGTTCTGTGAGAGGGGCTTGGTGGTGACAATTTGGGGTTTGATGGTGAATTGGGTGAAGGTAATCCCTATTTGAAACATATGGTCAGTTGATTTTAAATGAGTACCCCTACTCTATATAATGATATGAGTATTCCACTTGCTATAATATTTTACTTTACACTAAACATGCACTCCCATCGATCACACACTCACTGCCGCCATGCACACCATCTATTTTAGACTCGCCACTGCTTGCTCATTGCCAATCTCCCTTCCCCCGGCCACCCCTTTCTTCAATCGATTACATTCGCCACCATTGCTACTTAGTCGCAATACCATCACTATCGTCATGCACCTACCCCCTCCCCTCTCAGATTCATTGTTGCATCGATACCTAGCCCTCCCACCTCCATCTCCCCCCTTCAAATCCTGATTTCAAATGTGGGTAAGTTCTTTCTCAATCTTTAATTGAGTTTTGTCGCCAAATAATCAAGCATGGCATTGGATTTGGTTTAGCATTATGCCTATGTGTGACACTAAATTCTATACCCATGCTATGCACGAATAGAAAATTATCATAATGTATATTTAAATATTATGAAAAATGAACATATGTAAAATTAATTACTTTGTCAATATAATATTAAGATAAAATATTAGACTCGTGAACTCCTAAGTAAATGCTAACTACTTACTCCCTCCATCCCCATGTATTTGTATATATTTGACTTTTGGAATTGTTCATCTAAGCACTTTGACTCATCAAATTCTCTCAATGTGTAAGTCTAAATATAGTCATGCGTGATCTTGTTTGATTTGTCTTAACATATAGATTATTACTCCCTCCGTTTCTTAAAACACTTCCTCTTTCATTTTTTTTGTTTTTTCTTAAAACACTTCTCTTTTCTATTAAAAGACCACTTTTACCCCTACTTTTTCATACCCTACTTATCACATCATATTTTTTCACTAACAACTAAACTATCACATCTTACTTTAACCATCACATCAAAGACAAAATTGGAAAGTCAACTACAATTTAACACTTCCTTATTTTTTCTCAAAGTCAAAAGAGGAACCGTTTTGAGAAACGGAGGGAGTAATATATAATTTTTATAATTTTTTAATATACAAATTACAAGATAAAATGGATTAAAGAAGTGCATTGGATGGTGTGTAAAAATAAAAGTGGACAAATACAATGGGGACGGAGGGAGTAGTATATAAAAAAATCATTGTGAATATTTATGTTTTAATGCACTCATGTAGAAGATAGATATGTTTACTTTAAATAAAATTAATTATTCCTAAATAAACCTAATTTATATTTATGTAATCATATACTTCCTCTCTCCCTACATTATCATTTTCTTTACTATTTTAGTATTTTGATAAGTTTTGTTTGTTTATGCTTTTACACAATATAATTAATCATATCCATGCCTCAAAATGGGTGTATATTTAGCCCTCTTTCCCTACCACTCATGATTTAATGTGGCGTCCCATTAAGGCATTTATTGGTTCTAGTGGTAAAAAGTAAAGCCTAGCCATCAATACACACGCCCCCATGGAAAGGTCATTATGTCCTCACATGGAGTTGGTTGCCACCCAATGCCATAAACTAGCCATTATTTTAATTTATAAAGCAAAACATTACATTGACAATATTCAAGCCTAGCCGCTATCACACGTTCTCCCATACAAAATAACTAATATCACGTTTACCTATAAACTCGACTGCTTAATTTCCTCATAAAGCACACCACCCAAAGGCTGCCTAACGCACAACAAAATGCAAAAGCCATAATGTTTTCACGACCTCCTATAAAATTATTCAATTTATATAACAAACCCCGCCCGTACCCAAATGACCAAGGATTTTCACCCAATTCGAAACCGGGAAATTAGGCTGGAAAAAACACTCTTCATGTTTCTCTTTTGCCTTAGTATATTAAAAGATTTGTGAATTCACATGTTTCATTTATAATTTTATAAAAAAAATTCTTGTCGCCTTTTGTTTTAAAGATTTTTTTATGTACTTTCAAATAATGTAGTTTATACTTTTTTATATGTAAATTTATAATAAAAATTAGTTTTAAAAATGATGAGATTGTGCACCTTGTTGGGAGTGTCACATCCATTACGACAAGGAAGGAGTATTATTCTCATCACTATTGCTCTTTGGTTTTCTATCTAATTATTCCTTCAATCGTGCTATGGGTACACCACTTTGTACCCCAGTGGTGTACCCCATATACCCCCACCCTACATACCACTAAATCACACCCAATCCCACCCCACACCTTTGTTTTGTCTCTCTCCTCTCTCCTCTCTCACCCACCGATTCTTTTCCCCCTTTTTTCTCCTCATTTCGCGCGGAAAAAAATCCCAGCATCATTGGCGTGTTAGCATCATCGGAGAAAGGGAAGTAGTGCGACGGCTAGTTAACATCATCAGAGAAAGGGAACACGAAGAGGAAAGGACCAAGGCGCAAGAATTGAAGAACGATGACCCAAGGCCGCCGATTCATTTCCAAGTAAAATTTCAGATTCAAAGTTTAACTGCGGGAGAATGTATGAAGCTACGCCGACATCTCCTATTATAGCAGGTGATCATTTATTTTTGCACTAGCACTATATGTTTGTGTTATATTACAGTTTAGTTATAAACAGGTAGAAAGAGATGGTTCATTGAAAAGAATTTTTACCCCTGGATTCTTAGACTTTAAAGAAGTGTTGGTTATGGTTAATTTACTAGCAATAATTTCAGAAACATTCTCTACATAACATTAGACATAGGATTCTTATTAAATTGAAAGCTGTTGTTGTGAATTTATTATATGCTTATAGTTATGGACCAGCAATTAGGAGTGTGCAAGGAGATACGCTGTAGGTTTGACCTACTTGGGCATTTATTATCTGCTTTCAGTTGTAATTGTTTTGCACCAACATTTATGTCAGTGCAATAAGGCAGTTTGTAGGTGTCACCTACGGACAATGTCAGGTTGGATCATAATTCTTTGGTTTTAGTTGTATATGTTTTTGCCCCATCAATACATGTCTATGCAATATGTTAGCATGATTCAAGTTGTATTTTTTACGTGCAGGCATTTTAGAGGGCAATGACAACTTGGATGTCGGAAGTAGTTTCATGAGTATTTTTGAAAACAACAGTAGTAAGTAATGACATGCATATATTGGACGTCACCATTAATTTATATTAGTTCTAAAGTAATTTTGTAATTGTTGATGTCAAGCCTATATGAAGGGGTTGAGAATTTGGGAATTGAGCCTGCTTTGGTGGGCTTTTTAAGAGATGAATGTGAAGCACATGAAATGTGTGACTTTGGTGGTGATGGAGTAATATTGAACCCACATCCCAGTAAGCTCTTTAGTGTATAAGAGTCGTGTAAAAATACTTTGTGTTTTTTAAGATATAATTTATGGAGTAATAAATGTGGTTTTCAATCTTTGCAGTTACATTTGGAGGTATAACGAATGTATGTGATGCAACTACTTTCATTACGTTGTTAGAAGACGAGGGAGACTTGCATGTCCAGGGGGGCAGTGTGGACTAGTGCAAACACCATAAACTGTAAGTTGTACATAGGGGCTTCTTTATGAAATGCTGAATAGACAAGGATTGCTTGCACAGACAGATTATATAGGTGCAACTTCATCCCGGATAGCTTGCACAGACAGATTATGTAGGTGCAACTTCGTCTCGGATAGCTTGCACAGACAGATTATGTACGTGCAAAATGAAAGAGTTAACATTTACTGCTCTGTGTGTAGGTTTGGAAACAAATGTTGATGTCAAAGGTGAAGATGAAGTGATTGATAATGGATTAATGGGACAATGTAATGTATCCTTGATTGAGAATATTTCTGACCAACAGCAAAGCCAAGAGTGTGAGTCCTTCAATGTTGTGGATGCAATGCCAGCGGTCGGTATGCGTTTCAAAAACTACGAAGCACTATATAATTTCTATCATGCTTATGCTAAAAAAACGGGGTTTCCAATTCGCAAAAGAAGCTCTAGGAAAGGAAATGACGGGATGACACGAAGTGTGACAATGACTTGTGGTAGAGAGGGTAATCGGGAGAAGCGGAGTAAAAAGAATCTAAACGCACAACCCACAATGCAGTTGGGTTGCACAGCCCAAATCACTGCCACAGTCGATATTGAAGGTGCGTGCACCATTTCGGTTGTTAATTTAGAGCATAATCATGGGCTAAGCCCAAGCAAAGCTCGTACATGGCGTTGTAACAGGAAAGTGCCAAACCACGTTAAAAGACGTCTAGAGGTGAATGATGCTGCAGGGATCCCGCTTCACAAAAGCTTCAACTCGACTGTTGTTGAAGCAGGGGGTTATGACAACTTGACCTTTCTTGAAAAGGATTTCCGAAATTACGTGGAGCAAGTGAGGCGCGTTAAAATATGTGCAGGAGAAGCCATGGCAATCCAAGCTTATTTTCAGAAATTGCAAGCACAATGCGATGGTTTTTTTATAGTATGGATCTAGATGAAGAATCACGTTTAAAAAATTTGTTTTGGGCTGATAAGAGATCTAGAGAGTCATACAAGTTGTGGGAATTGCTCATAAGCCCACACCTAAAAGTATTACAAAAATATTTATAATTATTATTCAAGTAAATGAACTACATAAAATAGTGTAAAAGATTTATAATTCGGACATACTCACTTGCAACACATAGGGAAAACCATAGAAAGAGAATTTGCATGTCTTCATATTGGGGTTTTCAGCTAGCTTTGACAAGAAACGAGCCGGTTGCCCCTCCATAGCTGCCTTCAGATGGCGTACTGTGAGAAGATATGACTCCCACCCCCATGGATAAGCGTTGAACTTGTCAACGCTACCTAAGAGGTGAAGGTGAGACATGTCAACACCGGTCCCCTTGTCTCTAGCTAGTAACACGGGCTCCGCAAAAAACAGCTTAGCAAACTGAAGGACTTCATCACCCCCATTTTCTTCATCAAGAGCATGAAAACATTTGCGCACATGCGCAAATTTTGTTTTCCCCTTATCATTTCCCAAAATTTTTTTCCGAATTCTCCCCGAGGCTGAATCCTCACCCTCATTGCCACCATCCTCTCCATAAAACTTGGTAGAGGGCATTCCAATTATGTGACACCATTTCCCGAAATCAAATTTTAATATCGAACCACTTATGTTAAAACGTAGTTCATCATCTACCTGTTCTCTTGTGAAGTGCACAAGCAACAGATGGATGAGTTGGCCCGAAAATTGCAATGGAGGGGACTCAAGAAGGTGGCCGAAAGGGGACTCCATCTTGAAGCGATCCAGGTCTGAAGGTGTGAGTTTCTTTTTGATGATGTCAACTGATTTTTGAAGCTCGGAATAGCATGTATACTGTGCTTGGAAGTGGTCTGCATTTACCATTTGCAACGCCATTGTACAGAAACCTACATTTCAAACAAAAAACAAGACAATGTAATACCAAAATTGGGACTGGGCAAATACTAATGTAACCATAACATACTAAATTCGGAAGAAAATGGACCATTGCCCAGGCATTTACATAAAGTACTATACTTCAAGAAATTTGGGAAGAAACTATTGGTGTGAATCTGCTGTACACCATTGCACTGGCAGTTACATAAAGTACTACAAGAAATTTTTAAATTTTTAACAAAAATCAACAATTGCCCAGGCATATCTGAATTTGGCAGCAAATAAGGAGAAAATAACATAGCTTTGCATTTAGGGTTTCACTAATGTAAATAATGTTTGAGCAAAAAGGTGCAATTGAAAAAGGAGGAGCAATTACCTACAAGGCAGACCACCGGCAGATACGAGGGTAGAGATGATGGTAAGCGAGGACGAGGAGGACAGCTTG